TGGGCGTTGCAGACCAGCCAGTCAGCCCCACCTGCAGCTGCTGCTCCCCAGCTGCCGCTTCTGAGTGTTGGCCCGGCCAATCGCGTGGCGCTTAGTAGCTAATTAGGCTGGCCCGTGCCCCGGACCCCCTTTCGCCGCCTGCCCTCTGCTGCGCGGTCGCAACCAAAAAAAGTGTCCCCACCAGCCTACGAGAGCTGACGGGAAAAGGGACGAAAGGGCACATGTATGGAAACAAAACGAGCAACCAGGATGAAACGAGGAACTCTGGGAGCAAGGGGGTGGCCTTGGAAGGCCTCTCCGGGCCATCCCTCGGGGCCGCGTGGGGGCGAGGGGAAGAGGAGGAGGAGGAGGAGGAGGAGGAGGAGGAGGAGGAGGAGGAGGAGGAGAAGGTGGAGGGATCCAAAGAGTGTGATCCCGGTTTTATTTTCTCGTCTGCCCGGCTAGCCGTGCAATGGTGGGGGGAGAGCGGTGGCGGTGGTGGGGAGCTGAAGGAGGAGAAAGGTAAAAGGGGGGAGGAGGAGGACGACGAGGATCAGGAAGGGGCGGTACGAGGGATCATAATGAGGGCAATCCCGGTTGTATTTTCTCGTCTGCCCGGATAGTTGACGAGGGACAGGGGAAGGGTGGAGTTGAAGTGTGGGTGGGTTTTCTAACGGAGCTCGGTTGTTGCGGAACCCAATAACCGAAACAAATCAGGCTCTTGCTGGCATCGGCAATGATCATCTCGGAGAGAGGTCGCCGGGTCCCTCGTGGACCGCGACATCAGCTGGTGTTGCTGCTGGTGGTGGTGATGCTGACGTTGTTGTTGCCTCTGCTGGTGCTGCGGCTGGTGCCCTGGAAGGCCTGTTGGGGCCATCTAGGAGAGCATCAATCAAAAGATGGGGGGTCCTTGATTTCGGCCCCTTCCCAGGAGCCCTCAAAATCGCCTCTTGGAGCTCTCCTGGGGCTCTTCTGGAGGGTTTTGGAGCTCTCTTGGGGCTCTTTTAGGGGTCTTGGGGCCCTCTTGGGGCTCTGGTGGTGCCCTCTTGGGAGCCCTGGAAGTCCTCTTGGGGCCATCTTGGAGGCCATCTATCAAAGGAGGATATGGTGTAACGTTCAGCCATCCCCCAAAGAGGTCAACATGGGGCCAAAACCTCAGTAAAACCACTGATTTTGACTTCCTCGCCGAGGCCGTTTTGGACGCCCTGACACCTCGCGGAACCCCAAAAAAAAATCCAGGGGAGGAGGCAGAGGGAGGGGTCAAGACTCCTTCCCCGCCCGCAAGCCGTCTCGCTCACTCCCACCCGCCCTCCCAACACATACGTAGCACCCGAGTCTGGCCCGAGCCTCAGCATATTCAGCAGTCGTCTTTGGATGGGCAGCTACTGGGGACCAATCCGCCGCCGCCGACTCCGCCGCCCCCCCCGCCGCAGCCGCCGCCGCCGCCGCCGCAGCCGCCGCAACCTCCGCCGCCGCCGCCCCCGCCGCCGCCGCCGCCACCACCGCCGCCGCCGCAGCCGCCGCAGCCGCCGCCGCCGCCGCAGCCGCCGCTGCCGCCGCCGCCGCCAAGTGTACTGTGTATTGTTTGTTGATAGGGATGGTGGGGGGGGCCGCATCGGGTTGGCTGCGCATGCTCCGAATTTGGAGGCAGTGCGTGTTTTGTATGGTTGTTTTTACAAGGGATGGTGGGGGGCCCTCATGGTTCCTGGTTGGCTACCGGTCGCTTGGGGGAGGGGGTGTTTATTCATAGGGAATAGTGATAAACCCGTCCCCGTAGGGGAAGAGGGTTTTTGCTTGGAAGAGGAAAGAGGAACTTGTTAGACCACCTGCGGTCTAACTGCTGGACACTCTGAGCGTGCGAAGCGCCAGGGCGAAGGCCACATTTCGGAAGCGACCGTCCTTCCATCCGGGTGACAGTTGGAAGTCTTCAGCGAAACGCCCAGTCTGACTTACGGACACGCCTGGTGGTGCGACAGTGTGGAGTTGATTGTTCATATGGAATATGGGAAATGGCGCGGGGATGACGAATTGGAGGAGGAACAGGGGACGGGGGAGAAAGAGAGGAGGCACGAGGAGAAGAGAGGGAATGATCATCATGAGGAGGAGGAAGACCAGTGCAAACCCAAGACGCATCAACGATATTGCAATAAACCTTTCCTCCAAGCTCCCTCTTCATAGGCCCCTACACGGACCCATGCTCACCGAGGGAAGTGCCCCTGGAAGACAACCGTTTAAAAATCCAGAACTGCGCCAGAACGCAACGCCGCGAGTCAACCATGCTGTTGCGTCTTGACGATTCTGAATCGTGCTGGAACATCGTTCCTGCGCCCTGACATTTCGACACTGTGCCAAAACATCAGATCTGGGTCGTTAACCATGTGAATGCATGAAACGGATTTAAAGACGCTGGACAGGCGCGAAGGCGCCCCAGAAAGTTCCGGGGACGAGCCCAAGAGGCCCCGCAAAGCCTCTCGGACAGTTCCAAAGACGCTCATGCACAGAAGAGGGATCGGCACAAAAACCGCCCAAGAATCTCCCCGACATGGTCCGCAGTCATTTTGGCTCAAGCCATTTGTACTCAAGGTTTGGTGCGACCCGACGTGACTTCCCGTTCCGTCTGATAGTATCCCAGTTCTCTCGAAGGACCGCGTGCGGGTTGTGCCATGCCTCTCCCCCGGCCGGCGAGCATCGACTCGAAGTACAGGAAGTTATATCTGGTCGTCTTATGTGTGCTCGGCGTCGTAGCTGCTGCCTTCGTTTTCGGTAGTATCATGATGGCTGTGAATGCCCATGACAATCCACCGGTGCAGATGTCGGTTGGGGCTTGGGGCGCTTTCCCCATATTCAAGCTTTGCTATGGACCCAAGAGCTCCGCTCCAAACGTGACCACCGTTGTAGCCGGTAAGATTAAACTGTTAGATAATGTTATAAATGTGACAACCGGAACCAAGGACGGAGCAGACGATATAAAGTTGACTCATTCTGAACAGTGTGCGATCGCCGATCTTAGAGGGTTTGGCCCTGCACGCGATTTCAACGGAGCGGCAGGTTTTTTCTTTGGCATCAAAATCCCCAAACCAGTACATACTCAATATGGTTATGCTAGCATTTGGTATCAAAGAGATCCAAGCGAGAACGGGACTAGATTGACTTGGCTGCATGTTGACCGTGCCCAAACGTACAGCTTAGAGAAGACTGTGGAGGGTTGGACGCTCGGGTACCAGACCTCATCAATCGAAAGGTTGTCCGCTCGCAGCGTATGGGAATCGGAAATAAACAATTTCCAACGCGGCGAACAGCAAGTTTTCGATCCACACGCCAAGCTGGGCAAATGTTGGCCGAAGAAAGGTCAGGCGACTCCGCAGCGGAAAAAAAACATTGTCTGCGCCAATGTCATCTTGAAGGTTTATGATCCCATGGTGATACAGACCCTCAAGGTTGGGATCGTTCCGCAAATACTTGGCATACTGTCATCGGTCGGTGGGCTCTCATCTGTTGCAACTATGTTCATTAGCGTTCTGTTTGTCAAAAAGTATGCTCGCGGCGATGTTGCAGTTGCCTATGACTCTGTCACCCTGGTGGGCACGCAAGTTGACGAGCCCGTGACTTTGGACAGTGTACCCGAGGTGCGTGACATGTTCTTGACTCCAACTCTGGCATCCCCGACACCCGCGCGACCGTCGACGTCTGCTCCAACACCAACACTCGCAGACGAGGACAAGGCATCGTGCGCGAAGAGTCTCTTAAATGAACCAGGTGAAGTTGGCAACGACACCCGCTCGCAATCAACATGGTGTTGCCGAACGTAGCGTCCGATGTTGGTGTCTAGGGGACAACTATTGTCTCGTTCTTGGTTCGGCGTGCCCGTGCCAGTGGCTGGCTTACCCCTGCCGTTTCCAGCAGGTTTGCCCTGGTCGGTGGCGACGGGCGCTAGCCAGTGTTTTTTGTTTTTTTGATGCCGCTTTTCATTCTAGGCGGCGCACGTTCGCGGGTTTTGTGCCTCGAGGTAGATGATCAGGGGTCTGGAAGAGCACGACAGCCTCTAGTATGCGTGGCCAACAGGGAGCGCAGTCTGTACTGGAGGAAGACAGCAGCCCAGTTGCTTGGAATGTTCGGATGCTCTATGCAATGTTCACGGTTTGTGGGGATGGGGAGATGCAGCAGGAGGAGGAGGCGGTGGAAGTGGATGTGGAGAAGTTGAAGGGACATCATTTGTGTCTAATCTTCGCCAGTCAAGACGAGGACACGTTCACGGGCCATTGCATTCTGCCCACCAAGAGTTTACAATCGGTGGTGGGAGGGTTTCGTTGCTCCATTGCTACGCGGGCTCAATAGCCGGCAGTCGGGTTTCGTTGCTCCACTGCTACGCGGGCTCCATAGCCGGCAGTCGTGGCAGCGGGCACGAACGCATTGAGATCGCCATTAGTTATGAGAAGATTCGGTCGCTCCACAACGACGCGGAGTGAATGAATTGCTTGATCGCCGGGTTCTTGGTTTCATTCCCTTTTAGCTCAGCGATTCCAGAGACAAGTTCACGGGAGTTTTGCTTGCGTCATCCAGTTGAGTTTCTCGTTTGGAAAAAAATTGTTAAGAATGCCCAGGGAGGCTCCCGAGACCGCTCCCAAAGGCGTCAGGCGGGGCAAGGTCATTTTCAGACGGATTAAAATGCGCCCGACAGGCCCGAAGTGCCCCAGAATATTCCGGGGACGAGCCCAAGAGGCCCCGCAAAGCACCTCTGGCGGCTTCGACAGACGTTTCATTACACTTTCTATGATAACAGGGGTTCAAGCTTTTTGCCCTCATGTGTCCAAATTGGTGTTGTAAATTCCGAATCGCCCCAAAATGGCACTAGAGGCCCCCAAGATAGCCCGAAGACAACCCAAGAGGACCCCTAAGACGGCCCAGGAAGCGCCCCAGAGGGGAAACTCCACCTGACATCTCAAGCCCTCTGGCCCAAGAAAACCCCCGAGACCGCCAGCAAGCCCCCAAGGGCCCCCCTAGACGGCCCCATACCGCCCCCCAAGGGCTCCCACGACGGCCCGTGAGTACTTCAAGCAGCCCCCAAGAGGGCCCCGACAGGCCAGAGAGGCCCAAATTATTGCATTCCTTTTAAAACGTTTTCACATGTTCGGCACATTCGCTTCTTGGATCTTGACAGCGTCCAAGACGACCCAGACGCCCCCAAGATCGTCCCGAGACGGCCCAACATATACAGACACCTTTCTTCACATTACGGCTGGGAGTGAGGGCGTCACGCTTTCCGCCAGCCGCCGTCCACGAGGAGGAGGGAGTGAGAAGGAAGAGGAGAAGAAGGAGAAGAGACATGAGGAGGAGGAGGAGGAGGAGAAGGAGGAGGAGAAGGAGGTGGATGAGGAGGAGGAGGAGGAGGAGGAGAAGCAACTGCAGTAGCAGGACCATTATTCGAGTAGGAAAGGGCACCGAGGTGGAGGAGGAGGGACGACCGTGAGGCTGCGGAAGGCAGGATGACAGAGAGAGAGAGAGCGAATGCGAGGAGGAGGAGGAGGAGGAGGAGGCGGAAGGGACGGGGGAGGAGGTGAAGAGCAGAATGGACGGGGGAAGAGGAGGATCACGTTTTTTCTTGCCCCCTTTTGCCTCCTTTTTTTCGTCGTGCATCCTCCTGCCCTTTTTCGCGCTCAATTTCAGGAATCCCAATTGCGCCCAAGACGGTGCCCGGCGACAGCGCCTGGTTGGAAGAGGGGGCCGCCCTGCATCCGTGCAGTTGCGAGGAGGGAGGAACAGTGCACACAGGCACAGCGGACCGTCGGTCGACTCCCCAGAACATCTGGGAAACGATGGGAAGTGGGGGGGGGCAAGAGCCCAGAAAAAAGCCAGAAAAAGCGACACATGAGAAACAGCCAGGGCAAGACCCCAGAAAAAGCCAGAAAAAGCCAGAACGTCTGGGGGAATCCTTTTACCCGTGTCCATTGACTGGTGCGTCCCCAGGGCCCCCCTCCAGGCCGCTGCATCCCTCGAGGCGCCCGGGCACGGAGAGCGAGGCCACGCCTCGGGCGACGGCCCCCCTCTTTGAAGACGGCGCGGCGCTCGCCATCCGTGGCGCTTGCCTCCTCCTCCTCCTCCTCCTCCTCCTCCTCCTCCTCCTCCTCCTCCTCCTCCCTCCTCCTCCTCCTCCTCCTCCTCCTCCTCCTCCTCCTCCTCCTCCTCCTCCTCCTCCTCCCTCCCTCCTCCTCCCCCCCCCCTCCTCCTCCTCCTCCTCCTCTCCTCCTCCTCCTCCTCCTCCTCCTCCTCCCTCCTCCCTCCTCCTCCTCCTCCTCCTCCTCCTCCTCCTCCTCCTCCTCCTCCTCCTCCTCCTCCTCCTCCCCCCCCTCCTCCTCCCCCCCCTCCTCCTCCTCCTCCTCCTCCTCCTCCTCCTCCTCCTCCTCCTCCTCCTCCTCCTCCTCCTCCTCCTCCTCGGCATCGCTCGGACGTGTGCATTTTTTCTCGACAGGACCATCGAGGACCGTCCTGGACCGTCGAGCAAGAAAAAACACGCACGAGGCCGACGGGTGCACGGGAAGTGGACGTCCGAGCGGCAGCAAGGAGCGTGGCGATGCCTGCACCAGGGCTGGACCCGGACGCTGCTTTGCGGGACATCGGCTGCGTCCTGTTTTTCGCGCTGGGAGGGAAAGGTATCAGAGCGTGAATTACCTACCCCGCTTTCGCTTCCAGGCAAAACCAAGCCATACCACGCGCCTCCTCGTCAAGCGGCCTGACCAGTACAGGCTGCAAGTTGGCATCGTTCGGTATCTCTTGGAAGCGAGGGTGGTCAAAAGCGAGGTAGGTTTGTTTTCCCCCTAAGGTAGAGGCAAACGGGGGGAGCAAAACGAAGAGCAGAGCGAAACACAGCGCTCAGGTTCAGCCCCGGCCTGCACGCCCTTGAGCGAGCGGCGAGCGCCCGTTTTCCAACAGCACAGCGGCCTCCGTCCCTGCCGTTGCTGCCGAAGCCAAGGACGAGTGTGCGCCGGCCTCAGGCGAGAGCCACTTATTCGTCACGCTTCGCGTGTCCCCACCAGTACCCTACACGCGTATGTGTGGCGCTGAGTCACTTTGGTGGTGCACTCCCAGCTACCACGTGTTTCTACCGTGTGGCTTTGTGCACGTTGCTGTGCTCTTACCAGTCGCTGGTCCAAGGGCTCAGGCGCATCTCAGTTGTGGAAGGTTCTTTCCCTGGCTACTTTGTTTCCACTCCCTGGATGCGTGTTCTGACGTCGCGATGGTCCGCCACCGCCGTCAGAGTCTTCCCCGCTGGACTGTGTCACCAGTCAGTCTGTGCCTACCCGTCAGACTCCCTGGATTGACGTCCCGCTCGGGACCGTTCCCCACCCGTTCTTTTTCGATCTGTTGGGAACGCTTTACGCGCCATTTTGGCTGCGCTCGGCTTCCTCGGTGCCTGTTGTCAGACTCCCTGGATGCGCCGTTGCATGTTCCTTTCAGGGGCTGCCCTGCAGACTCCCTGGATATGCACGCTTTGGCTCAGACGCCCTGGGTCGTTGCTGCCTGCCGCCTGACCGCGGCCCCGCGCGCGCCCGCCCCCCTTGTCGCGGCCGCAGCCCGACCGTGACCGCCTGCCGCTGGCGCTTCCGCCTGCGGCTGTAAAAGAAAAAATCCCCACCAGTCCCTGCCACAGGTTTGCTCGATGCATCAGCTTCCCTGGGCGTTGCAGACCAGCCAGTCAGCCCCACCTGCAGCTGCTGCTCCCCAGCTGCCGCTTCTGAGTGTTGGCCCGGCCGGCTCGCGTGGCGCTTAGTAGCTAATTCGGCTGGCCCGTGCCCCGGACCCCCTTTCGCCGCCTGCCCTCTGCTGCGCGGTCGCAACCAAAAAAATTGCCCCCACCAGCCTACGAGAGCTGACGGGAAAAGAGACGAAAGGGCACATGTACGGAAACAAAGCGAGCAACCAGGATGAACCGAAGAACTCTGGGAGCAAGGAGGTGGCCTTGGAAGGCCTCTCCGGGCCATCCCTCGGGGCCGCGTGGGGGCGAGGGGAAGAGGAGGAGGAGGAGGAGGAGGAGGAGGAGGAGGGGGGGGATCCGAAGAGTGCGAACCCGGTTTTATTTTTAGCCGTGCAATGGTGGGGGGAGAGCGGTGGCGGTGGTGGGGAGCTAAAGGAGGAGAAAGGTAAAAGGGGGGAGGAGGAGGACGACGAGGATCAGGAAGGGGCGGTACGAGGGATCATAATGAGGGCAATCCCGGTTGTATTTTCTCGCCTGCCCGGATAGTTGACGAGGGACAGGGGAAGGGTGGAGTTGAAGTGTGGGTGGGCTTTCTAACGGAGCTCGGTTGTTGCGGAACCCAATAACCGAAAAAAGATCAGGCTCTTGCTGGCATCGGCAATGATCATCTCGGAGAGAGGTCGCCGGGTCCCTCGTGGACCGCGACAGCCATCAGCTGGTGTTGCTGTTGGTGGTGGTGATGCTGACGTTGTTGCTGCCTCTGCTGGTGCTGCGGCTGGTGCCCTGGAAGGCCTGTTGGGGCCATCTAGGAGAGCATCAATCAAAAGATGGGGGGTCCTTGATTTCGGCCCCTTCCCAGGAGCCCTCAAAATCGCCTCTTGGAGCTCTCCTGGGGCTCTTCTGGAGGGTTTTGGAGCTCGTTTGGGTTTTTTTTAGGGGTCTTGGGGCCCTCTTGGGGCTCTGGTGGTGCCCTCTTGGGAGCCCTGGAAGTCCTCTTGGGGCCATCTTGGAGGCCATCGATCAAAGGAGGAGATGGTGTAACGTTCAGCCATCCCCCAAAGAGGTCAACATGGGGCCAAAACCTCAGTAAAACCACTGATTTTGACTTCCTCGCCGAGGCCGTTTTGGACGCCCTGACACCTCGCGGAACCCCCAAAAAATCCAGGGGAGGAGGTAGATGGAGGGGTCAAGACTCCTTCCCCGCCCGCAAGCCGTCTCGCTCACTCCCACCCGCCCTCCCAACACATACGTAGCACCCGAGTCTGGCCCGAGCCTCAGCATATTCAGCAGTCGTCTTTGGATGGGCAGCTACTGGGGACCAATCCGCCGCCGCCGACTCCGCCGCCCCCCCCGCCGCAGCCGCCGCCGCCGCCGCCGCAGCCGCCGCAACCTCCGCCGCCGCCGCCCCCGCCGCCGCCGCCGCCACCACCGCCGCCGCCGCAGCCGCCGCAGCCGCCGCCGCCGCCGCAGCCGCCGCTGCCGCCGCCGCCGCCAAGTGTACTGTGTATTGTTTGTTGATAGGGATGGTGGGGGGGGGCCGCATCGGGTTGGCTGCGCATGCTCCGAATTTGGAGGCAGTGTGTGTTTTGTATGGTTGTTTTTACAAGGGATGGTGGGGGGCCCTCATGGTTCCTGGTTGGCTACCGGTCGCCTGGGGGAGGGGGTGTTTATTCATAGGGACTAGTGATAAACCCGTCCCCGTAGGGGAAGAGGGTTTTTGTTTGGAAGAGGAAAAAGGAACTTGTTAGACCACCTGCGGTCTAACTGCTGGACACTCTGAGCGTGCGAAGCGCCAGGGCGAAGGCCACATTTCGGAAGCGACCGTCCTTCCATCCGGGTGACAGTTGGAAGTCTTCAGCGAAACGCCCAGTCTGACTTACGGACACGCCTGGTGGTGCGACAGTGTGGAGTTGTCTGTTCATATGGAATATGGGAAATGGCGCGGGGATGACGAATTGGAGGAGGAACAGGGGACGGGGGAGAAAGAGAGGAGGCACGAGGAGGAGAGAGGGAATGATCATCATGAGGAGGAGGAAGACCAGTGCAAACCCAAGACGCATCAACGATATTGCAATAAACCTTTCCTCCAAGCTCCATCTTCATAGGCCCCTACACGGACCCATGTTCACCGAGGGAAGTGCCCCGTTGGAAGACAACCGTTTAAAAATCCAGAACTGCGCCAGAACGCAAGTCCTGAGACATCAACGCCGCGAATCAACCATGCTGTTGCGTCTTGACGAGTCTGAATCGTGCGGGAACATCGTTCCTGCGCCCTGACATTTCGACACTGTGCCAAAACATCAGATCTGGGTCGTTAACCATGTGAATGCATGAAACGGATTTAAAGACGCCGGACAGGCGCGAAGGCGCCCCAGAAAGTTCCGGGGACGAGCCCAGGAGGCCCCGCAAAGCCTCTCGGACAGTTCCAAAGACGCTCATGCACAGAAGAGGGATCGGCACAAAAACCGCCCAAGAATCTCCCCGACATGGTCCGCAGTCATTTTGGCTCAAGCCATTTGTACTCAAGGTTTGGTGCGACCCGACATGATTTCCCGTTCCGTCTGATAGCCAGTTCTCTCGAAGGACCGCGTGCGGGTTGTGCCATGCCTCTCCCCCGGCCGGCGAGCATCGACTCGAAGTACAGGAAGTTATATTTGGTCGTCTTATGTCTGCTCGGCGTCGTAGCTGCTGCCTTCGTTTTCGGTAGTATCATGATGGCTGTGAATGCCCATGACAATCCACCGGTGCAGATGTCGGTTGGGGCTTGGGGCGCTTTCCCCATATTCAAGCTTTGCTATGGACCCAAGAGCTCCGCTCCAAACGTGACCACCGTTGTAGCCGGTAAGATTAAACTGTTAGAGAATGTTATAAATGTGACAACCGGAACCAAGGACGGAGCAGACAGTATAAAGTTGATTCATTCTGAACAGTGTGCGATCGCCGATCTTAGAGGGTTTGGCCCTGCACGCGATTTCAACGGGTCGGCAGGTTTTTTCTTTGGCATCACAATCCCCAAATCAGTACATACTCAAAATGCTTATGCTAGCGTTTGGTATCAAAGAGATCCAAGCGAGAACGGGACTAGATTGATTTGGCTGCATGTTGACCGTGCCCAAGATTACAGCTTAGAGAAGACTGTGGAGGGTTGGACGCTCGGGTACCAGACCTCATCAATCGAAAGGTTGTCCGCTCGCAGCGTATGGGAATCGGAAATAAACAATTTCCAACGCGGCGAACAGCAAGTGTTCGATCCACACGCCAAGCTGGGCAGATGTTGGCCGAAGAAAGGTCAGGCGACTCCGCAGCGGAAAAAAAACATTGTCTGCGCCAATGTCATCTTGAAGGTTTATGATCCCATGGTGATACAGACCCTCAAGGTTGGGATCGTTCCGCAAATACTTGGCATACTGTCATCGGTCGGTGGGCTCTCATCTGTTGCAACTATGTTCATTAGCGTTCTGTTTGTCAAAAAGTATGCTCGCGGCGATGTTGCAGTTGCCTATGACTCTGTCACCCTGGTGGGCACGCAAGTTGACGAGCCCGTGACTTTGGACAGTGTACCCGAGGTGCGTGACATGTTCTTGACTCCAACTCTGGCATCCCCGACACCCGCGCGACCGTCGACGTCTGCTCGAACACCAACACTCGCAGACGAGGACAAGGCATCGTGCGCGAAGAGTCTCTTATGGTGTTGCCGAAAGTAGCGTCCGATGTTGGTGTCTAGGGGACAACTATGGTCTCGTTTTTGGTTCGGCTTGCCCGTGCCAGTGGCTGGCTTACCCCTGCCGTTTCCAGCAGGTTTGCCTTGGTCGGTGGCGACGGGCGCCAGCCAGTGTTTTTTTTGTTTTTTTGATGCCGCTTTTCATTCTAGGCGGCGCACGTTCGCGGGTTTTGTGCCTCGAGGTAGATGATCAGGGGTCTGGAAGAGCACGACAGCCTCTAGTATGCGTGGCCAACGGGGAGCGCAGTCTGTACTGGAGGAAGACAGCAGCCCAGTTGCTTGGAATGTTTGGATGCTCTATGCAACGTTCACGGTTTGTGGGGATGGGGAGATGCAGCAGGAGGAGGAGACGGTGGAAGTGGATGTGGAGAGGTTGAAGGGACATCATTTGTGTCTAATCTTCGCCAGTCAAGACGAGGACACGTTCACGGGCCATTGCATTCTGCCCACCAAGAGTTTACAATCGGTGGTGGGAGGGTTTCGTTGCTCCATTGCTACGCGGGCTCAATAGCCGGCAGTCGGGTTTCGTTGCTCCACTGCTACGCGGGCTCCATAGCCGGCAGTCGTGGCAGCGGGCACGAACGCATTGAGATCGCCATTAGTTATGAGAAGATTCGGTCGCTCCACAACGACGCGGAGTGAATGAATTGCTTGATCGCCGGGTTCTTGGTTTCACTCCCTTTTAGTTTAGCGATTCCAGAGACAAGTTCACGGGAGTCTTGCTTGCGTCATCCAGTTGAGTTTCTCGTTTGGAAAAAATTGTTAAGAATGCCCAGGGAGGCTCCCGAGACCGCTCCCAAAGGCGTCAGGCGGGGCAAGGTCATTTTCAAACGGATTAAAATGCGCCCGACAGGCCCGAAGTGCCCCAGAATATTCCGGGGACGAGCCCAAGAGGCCCCGCAAAGCACCTCTGGCGGCTTCGACAGACGTTTCATTACACTTTCTATGATAACGGGGGTTCAAGCTTTTTGCCCTCATGTGTCCAAATTGGTGTTGTAAATTCCGAATCGCCCCAAAATGGCACTAGAGGCCCCCAAGATAGCCCGAAGACAACCCAAGAGGACCCCTAAGACGGCCCAGGAAGCGCCCCAGAGGGGAAACTCCACCTGACATCTCAAGCCCTCTGGCCCAAGAGAACCCCCGAGACCGCCAGCAAGCCCCCAAGGGCCCCCCTAGACGGCCCCATACCGCCCCCCAAGGGCTCCCACGACGGCCCGTGAGTGTTCCAAGAAAGCCCCTTGAGAGGCCCGTGAGTACGTCAAGCAGCCCCCAAGAGGGCCCCGACAGGCCAGAGAGGCCCAAATGATTGCATTCCTTTTAAAACGTTTTCACATGTTCGGCACATTCGCTTCTTGGATCTTGACAGCGTCCAAGACGACCCAGACGCCCCCAAGATCGTCCCGAGACGGCCCAACATATACAGACACCTTTCTTCACATTACGGCTGGGAGTGAGGGCGTCACGCTTTCTGCCAGCCGCCGTCCACGAGGAGGAGGGAGTGAGAAGGAAGAGGAGAAGAAGGAGAAGAGACATGATGAGGAGGAGGAGGAGGAGGAGGAGAAGGAGGAGGAGAAGGAGGTGGATGAGGAGGAGGAGGAGGAGGAGAAGCAACTGCAGTAGCAGGACCATTATTCGAGTAGGAAAGGGCACCGAGGTGGAGGAGGAGGGACGACCGTGAGGCTGCGGAAGGCAGGATGACAGAGAGAGAGAGAGAGCGAATGCGAGGAGGAGGAGGAGGAGGCGGAAGGGACGGGGGAGGAGGTGAAGAGCAGAATGGACGGGGGAAGAGGAGGATCACGTTTTTTCTTGCCCCCTTTTGCCTCCTTTTTTTCGTCGTGCATCCTCCTGGCCTTTTTCGCGCTCAATTTCAGGAATCCCAATTGCGCCCAAGACGGTGCCCGGCGACAGCGCCTGGTTGGAAGAGGGGGCCGCCCTGCATCCGTGCAGTTGCGAGGAGGGAGGAACAGTGCACACAGGCACAGCGGACCGTCGGTCGACTCCCCAGAACATCTGGGAAACGATGGGAAGTGGGGGGGGGCAAGAGCCCAGAAAAAAGCCAGAAAAAGCGACACATGAGAAACAGCCAGGGCAAGACCCCAGAAAAAGCCAGAAAAAGCCAGAACGTCTGGGGGAATCCTTTTACCCGTGTCCATTGACTGGTGCGTCCCCAGGGCCCCCCTCCAGGCCGCTGCATCCCTCGAGGCGCCCGGGCACGGAGAGCGAGGCCACGCCTCGGGCGACGGCCCCCCTCTTTGAAGACGGCGCGGCGCTCGCCATCCGTGGCGCTTGCCTCCTCCTCCTCCTCCTCCTCCTCCTCCTCCCTCCTCCTCCTCCTCCTCCTCCTCCTCCCTCCTCCTCCTCCTCCTCCTCCCTCCCTCCTCTCCTCCTCCTCCTCCTCCCCCCCCCCTCCTCCCTCCTCCTCCTCCTCCTCCCCCCCCTCCTCTCCTCCTCCTCCTCCTCCTCCTCCTCCTCCTCCTCCTCCTCCTCCTCCTCCTCCTCCTCCTCCTCCTCCTCGGCATCGCTCGGACGTGTGCATTTTTTCTCGACAGGACCATCGAGGACCGTCCTGGACCGTCGAGCAAGAAAAAACACGCACGAGGCCGACGGGTGCACGGGAAGTGGACGTCCGAGCGGCAGCAAGGAGCGTGGCGATGCCTGCACCAGGGCTGGACCCGGACGCTGCTTTGCGGGACATCGGCTGCGTCCTACGAATATTGGCAACATAAGGGTTGATATTGGCAACATAAGGGTTGATAGTTTTTGCGCGCGCGTGCGAGCGCTTGTGTGTTGCATGTGCCTGGCGTGTACTTATGTGCTTGCGTGTTTACGCGGCGTGGCATGAGTGCTGGGTTGGTGCGTGCAGGGTCTCAGGTCTCGCGTCTGGGTTGCTCCATGCAGCGTTTTGGATCCTCGGAACAAATGCCACGTCCAGCCTTTGCTAGGGTGTCGGGGGGCGCGCCCGTAGTTCTCACCGGCCTACGCCCTGCTCCCGGGGCCGCGGTGCCGGGTGTGGCCGCCAACCACACCGGCACGTCCATAGACCGCCGAGTCGGACGGGAGCAATCCTCCTGCGCCTGGGGTGCAGCGTTGGTGCCCAAGCCACCCGGCTGGGCCGCGGGCAACGTCCCTGGGGCGCTCGAGGGGGCTGGCGGCAGAGAACGCGTGGTTTTGGGTCGGCGCCCCGGGGGCGGCCAACCCCACGGCGGGGGGGCGTCTGGGTTCCCCTCGGCCCGGGCGACCCCTCTCGTCGCCCCGTGTGGCCTTGCGCGTGTTTGCGGTGTGGACCTGCCTCCCCGGCTTAGGGAGTCCTTTCTGCGACATTCGTTTTTTTTCACACCGCTTTGGGTCGGCTCACTACCAGCGCGGGGCGGGAGGGCACAGCTCGCTGCCATGCACGTGCGGGGGCGGTTCTGGATTCCTATAGGAGTCCACCCCCGTGCGTCCGGTAGCGTGAGGCCGGCTGCCGCCTGATCACCGGGAGCCGGCGTACCCGGTCTACGGGCTTGGCTTCGGGCCCCGCGGATCCTACGGTGTCTCTCCTTGTTGTTGCGCGGGTGCCACGAGCACCCAGCTGGGGCTCTCGACCCTTTCCGTGTCTTGGGCTGTCCGAGGTTGGGGGGGGGGAGGGCCGGGAGGGGAGGCGGGGGGGAAGAGGGCCTTCCGCGGGTGCTTCGCGTCCGCAAGGGTGCACGTGTGCCGCCGTCCGTCCGCTGGGTTCGCCTGTCAGCTGGGTCGTCGTCGCCCGTCCGCGGGTCCCCCATTTGCGCCGGGAGGCGGCCTTGTACCGTCTCCTAGGGGAGGGGGGCCTTGAACCCCTGGCGACGAGGGGCCTTGAACCCCTGTCCTGGCTGACGGGCGAGCCAGTTGGAACGAGAGGCCGAGGTTGTGGGCACTACATGTCGCGATATTCGCACGCGGAGGGGTGCGCGTACGGGGACGTTGTGCGAGGGCGCAGGACGTGTTGTGCGTATCTGTTGTGTGTGTGTGGGCGCGCTGTGTGTGCACAGGGCGTGCTGTGCGCCCCGGTCGCCGTGCTCATCGGACTTAAGCGTGCCAATATTCGATTTCCCACGTATGCCTCTATCATCGGCATGTTCTTCCAGGACGGGCGCCGCAAGGTTGGATATCCCGTTGTTGCGCCATCATGGTACAAGGTTGATGGTCGATATCCCCTGTATGGGGTTCTCGTTCTTGATTCCCCAATCAATGCTTGTACTTAAGGGATCCTAGCGGATTTAGAACAGATTGGCAGTTACGAATTTGTCGGGCCTCCTACTGTTTGGGTTTTCTCTAGTGTAAAATTGGACCTCTCCGCCTCTGTCCCCCCCGGTCTTCTCTCCCCCCTCACCTCTACTGCTCTGGGGTTCTTGGGGGGTGGGGTCCGCCGCGGTGGGGCAGGGGATCGGGCTCCCCCTCGTGCCTCTCCCGGTGCGGGGTCCCCGCCCCCGCCTTGTCGCGGCGCACTTCACCCTCTGGGGTTGGGGGCCGGGACCTGGGTGTTGCTGGAGAGGCGAAGGGAAGCCCCCCGGCCTACATCCCCTTCCACCAGTACCAGTACCAGTACCTGTTTTTCGCGCTGGGAGGGAAAGGTATCAGAGCGTGAATTACCTGCCCCGCTTTCGCTTCCAGGCAAAACCAAGCCATACCACGCGCCTCCTCGTCAAGCGGCCTGACCAGTACAGGCTGCAAGTTGGCATCGTTCGGTATCTCTTGGAAGCGAGGGTGGTCAAAAGCGAGGTAGGTTTGTTTTCCCCCTGAGGTAGAGGCAAACGGGGGGAGCAAAACGAAGAGCAGAGCGAAACACAGCGCTCAGGTTCAGCCCCGGCCTGCACGCCCTTGAGCGAGCGGCGAGCGCCCGTTTTCCAACAGCACAGCGGCCTCCGTCCCTGCCGTTGCTGCCGAAGCCAAGGACGAGTGCGCGCCGGCCCCAGGCGAGCCATGTATTCGTCACGCTTCGCGTGTCCCCACCAGTACCCTACACGCGTATGTGTGGCGCTGAGTCACTTTGGTGGTGCACTCCCAGCTACCACGTGTTTCTACCGTGTGGCTTTGTGCACGTTGCTGTGCTCTTACCAGTCGCTGGTCCAAGGGCTCAGGCGCATCTCAGTTGTGGAAGGTTCTTTCCCTGGCTACTTTGTTTCCAGTCCCTGGATGCGTGTTCTGACGTCGCGATGGTCCGCCACCGCCGTCAGAGTCTTCCCCGCTGGACTGTGTCACCAGTCAGTCTGTGCCTACCCGTCAGACTCCCTGGATTGACGTCCCGCTCGGGACCGTTCCCCACCCGTTCTTTTTCGATCTGTTGGGAACGCTTTACGCGCCATTTTGGCTGCGCTCGGCTTCCTCGGTGCCTGTTGTCAGACTCCCTGGATGCGCCGTTGCATGTTCCTTTCAGGGGCTGCCCTGCAGACTCCCTGGATATGCACGCTTTGGCTCAGACGCCCTGGGTCGTTGCTGCCTGCCGCCTGACCGCGGCCCCGCGCGCGCCCGCCCCCCTTGTCGCGGCCGCAGCCCGACCGTGACCGCCTGCCGCTGGCGCTTCCGCCTGCGGCTGTAAAAGAAAAAATCCCCACCAGTCCCTGCCACAGGTTTGCTCGATGCATCAGCTTCCCTGGGCGTTGCAGACCAGCCAGTCAGCCCCACCTGCAGCTGCTGCTCCCCAGCTGCCGCTTCTGAGTGTTGGCCCGGCCGGCTCGCGTGGCGCTTAGTAGCTAATTAGGCTGGCCCGTGCCCCGGACCCCTTTTCGCCGCCTGCCCTCTGCTGCGCGGTCGCAACCCAAAAAAGTGTCCCCACCAGCATGCGAGAGC